CCAAACTACATGAGGCTATTTCGGGTATAGAACTCACATGCGCGTAGAAACTGCAAAAATCCAAGCTCCCGAAAAGTTGACTGCACAGCAGTGGAACAATCTGATCATGTGGCATCAGCGCTGATTCATCACCATCATGACCTATATGTGTGCACACAGTATCCAACAACCTGCGGAGATCTCTTCAAGCTTCCTGTTGCACACAAAATGCCTCCTCGAATGTTGCACCATGGCATCTATGCATTTCTGGAAGTTATGAAATCTCGACTCCCAGATAGTCGGAATTACATGATTCAGTTCCTCCAACATGTGTACGACCTGATTCAGGTGCTGGTAGAAAGTGCCCCCAGATTTAAAAATATGTGGTTAGAATGTCTTGGTGACCTGGCCGCGTATAGAATGTCCCTCGAGAGTACGTTTTCTGAAGAGAGAATAGCGCGGGCTAAGCAATCGACGAATTGGTATTACGCGGCTGCCGACGAGAACTATGGAAAAGGAAGCCTTTACCATCGACTTGGTAATCTTGTGGTGAACAATTTGGGTCGAAAGTTCTTCTTATACTCTAGGTCTCTTATATCTACCGAACGATGCGAAAAATCAAAGAGCGGCGTTGAAAGCACCTTTGTCATGGCCTTACAATCAGTCAACAGTCGTGGACCCATCGACCCAGGAATCTCGTCCTGGTTTGTGAGTGCGCATGCTCTGCTTCTTCGCGGTGACTCAATTAGCAAATTCATTGCGTACTCCCAGGAGTTTTGTGCTCTCTTACGCTTTAGGATTGCTCAAGATGACTTCAAATTGAATGGAGCTGGAATGTACCTGGGAGTCCCCAACATAGCAGCAATGTTACAATACGGTGAAGAGGAGGGAATCTTTAGGAACATGTTCATAGACTCTCACAAGCTGAGCTCGGAGGCCAAACTACAACGCGCGATGCAATACTGGGCTGAACATTCTACCGATCTCCCGCGAAACACTCCGGAAGATGAGATCCTAGCTCCTGCGGCAGCTTTCTCTACTCCTTTGGAAAAACTTTCTTACAGCATTTATTTAACCTTCTTCACACTTTCTACTGTTCTTTCACATACCCATAGCGATGAAATTATACCCTTTGTTCACATCTTCCTTACCTTTATTTGGAGTTTGGCATTGGTTCCGGATGCCATGGTATGCGTTGAGAGAGAAATTCCCTGGAGAAAAATTACTCAATTTTTAAATTCGTTAAACCAGGACTATGCCAGCATACTCCGGCTTGAAAGCACTGACTTCCCCATATATGATCAAACGCGTTATTGGCAAATACCCGATGATTTCTCCATTCGAGGACAAATCTGGTCGCAAAGTATATATCCGGACAATTTCTTTCTGGACCCTCTGCCTAAAGATGATCGCGGATTCGACACGAAATCCTCCAAAGATACCCGCAACGAGCGTTGTTTATGGTATGGATATCGTCTAGCATCGGTAAGACTTTACTCTTTATTCAGTCCTATACGTTTTAACTTCCTTAGTCTGGCCATTTTTCACTTTCACCTTCATTTTACATGTTTCTTATTAATTAACTAATCGGATCTCTTTAGTGTGGACGTTGGATTCAGTTGTTCACGGACGAAAAAACAGGCGACAGGGACTTTAGACTCACATCCCTCGCTGAGCACCTCGAGGCGACTGCGAAACATCCTGGCGTGTTTAAGCCCACACAAATGGCCATTCCTTCCAGATCTGGACGATCACAGCCGGCTAGAAAAAGGAAAGGCCGTTGACACACAAGTGGTCATCGTAACGCCCAACGGGCCCTCTCAGGCTTGCCGTACCAGTGAGTGCACCAATTTTAGGGCAGAGTGCGATGGCAGAGGGTTGGAGCAAATTTTTATTGCAGGATATACTGATACATTAGTGAAACCACTGTGTCGTGGGGCCCTTATATCAGCTGCGGGTTTGCGGGCGCACTCGACATTGCAAGTTGCGGAGGTTCCAGCTTCTCAGGCCATTGCATATTTCCTATTCTTATTTTACAAGCACAGCGGGGCCCGCTGCGGGTTGCCTCGGTTAGAGCTATTTTTGAGCATTTTATCAACTCGGTTCAGCATTTAATTAATTAATAAGATAGACAGTTCTCCATAATGGTATGCGGCGATGCCATGATTTCCGATTGCTGCATATATATTTTTATAAAACCAAATAAATCGCGCCACTGATTTTAGATTCGGGTAACTTCAAGGTCAGGGATGTTATATTTGCCTACTTTATCCTGCTTCCATTTCATTTCCTATCACTTCATTTACGCTACAATCGAATCCTACTCCTGGGATACGTTTTAATGTACACCCGGGACTATTCCTTTTGACTTCAATTTAATTCCCAAGCCTTTTCCGATGGTGCTAATGGAGAGTCCAATCGGATGAGAGGGGGATATGGGATAGCACGGATAGATGCAAAAGATTATGGTAGCCCATACTCCGTACATAATCTCTTAATGTCAAAATCTGGCAAAGGACTCTCGCCTTTTCCCATATATATTTCCCACAAACACTCGATGGCCCATGTTTACCCGACCTCCTTACGTTCCTTGGTACGCCACTTGTTTACCGTCAGCGCATCCTCAATGACTTACCACACGCCCTTATCACGCGCCACTTTCCCAAGACAGGAAAGCGCTGGAATAGAAACTATCGTGTTTCGGGGCCGTGGACACAGAAAGTCGATCTGTATACATGCATGCATGTTTGTAGTCAGTATCTGCAGATGCTCACAGATAATGGAAGGAATATCTAGTCCCTTATCCTTTCGCCCGTCGACATTTGTACATGTACGTACATTAAACGTTACAGGCGGGTGTCAAGTCCGGTCAAATTAAACTACTATCTGGACCTGGGAGAATTCATCACATTGCTTGGATGGAACGCGTGTTGTTTAATTACATTTGTGCAACTAAGTTTTGCTCGAGAAATCAGTAGTCGAAGGTAAGGCGGATGTGACTGGCCTTTACCTGTGATCTCCAGAAACAGCCAGTACCACCTGCGGGATCTTCAAGGGTTGGAATTCTGATATCTTGATGCGGCAATTCCCACCATCAGGGATCGCGTTCTCCAAGTGAAGGGTGGACCGGGCGCTTTTCATCTAGTTGGGAGTGTTTGTAAGGCTTGATTTCGTTCTTCACGCTGGCAACCGGTATTGGTTCAGGGGTAGACTGTATAAATTGTGGGTCTCGGCGCTCATGTCGTGCTCTCGATGTGACGATGATGATAGGAAGTATGTCGCTCTGCATGAGGCTCGATTTGAAGGGGATTGGGTTTATATCTAGGGTGTTGACAGGAGGCAGGGCAACCCCTGACCTGAATGAAAGTTGGAAACATTGACGGGGATTTGATTCCGCGGAAACCGATTCCAGACCAGTCCTTGTTCGTGTTCAGTGAACATCCGCAACAAAGCAGGTCCAGGTAAACTCGCATTAACACGAAAACTGCCTGGAGTCCCATAATTCAGGTGCAATGAATTTATGGTAGGGTTGGCGTAGGCATCCACTTTATGTTGCTTGAGCTTTAGAAACCAGGATCAGCTCTAGTCAGCTAGCTCCGCGTAATGTATGAAACCATGACAAAACAAATATTGAGGCATTACAGCTTATCAGAAACGGGTCAAACTTGTTGAAATATTTGTCAGAGTCTTCCATCGTTCCAATCCGGCTTGTTACGTGGTGCCATTTAGGCGACCGCGCCCCTCCAAAACCCCTGCAAACCTTGCAAACCCAGACAATATTACAACCCCAAAGTAAATCCCTTATTTGATATTTTCAATCCTTGTGGGAAAACGTTAACTGCAAATTTTCCTTTCGACCACACACTGGGGCGAATTTAAATCAAATGAGCTGGCCTGGGTGTGTGGCAAAATCAATAAAGCCTTGTTGATTTATATCACGTAGTCCTCCTTGGTCAAGGCGAATACATTAGGCCACTGGGACAAAAAAGCTCCATCACCACCAGCGCCATATGGTCCTCCAACAGAATACCATAACGGGCCTCATGAGCGTTGGCCCCGGGAAAGGCCCCGATCATACTAACATCGGCTATTTTCCGCCTTTTGGAATTTCAGCTCGCTAACTTGTGTGCCGCGTTATACACACATTAATTGCTTGTCTGCTGATGAGGGAAGTAGGAAAAATGACTCAGATAAGGGCCACTGACACCAGCTCGAAACGGAACAATGCTGAGAGAGTCGGGAGCACAGATCAAACACGGCCAAACGCTCGCGGTATTCGACACAAAAATCTGCCTCCGAGCCGTGTCCGAGTGCCTTGCCACTGGAAAGGTACTATAAATGCCTTCCCTGTGGTACAGATGCACATCTCAGCCCTTTTTGAAAAGCGATCTCTCACATTTTTGGTCGTGGCCGTTGAGTTAGCTCTCTGAAAACTTTCAACTCTCCAGTTGGAGCCAATGAGGAAGCCATTGTGCCCATTCGTGATTCAATTGGAAGTTGGTACTGCGAGATTCCAGTCTCCTGAACTGAACACAAGGATTAATTGCCTTCATCTGATTTTTCCTGCAAGGCAAATATTGTGGGCAAATGCGAGGTGAAACATATATCATTAGAGTAACTCTTGGCTCCAGAAACTTGGAAAACAAGCTGAGTGGAATGGTGACAGTAACGTTCAGTGTATGGGTGTGTGAGGGTTGCCTAGAATATGAACACAACCAGCTCCCGGGCCCAGTCAATATTATAACTGTGAAACGGTAGACGGGGCAACATCTTTGCCTGGAACCCGATACCTTGTAACCAGAATCAAAGCACTAAAAGACGGAGCCTGAGTTACATTGGTTCATTAGGCTTCCAGTGGCTGCGCATGTGATATTCTGATGCTGGTTTATAGGGTCCCTGAACAATAACAGTGGAAGGCTGAAATATCGTAGAGCTGGGAGAAGTGAGGGTAGGCACAAAGATTGTGCCATCCCAGTTTAGCATCCACCAGAGCTGCAGGAAATGGCAGACGAGCATGCGGAAATTCAAGGATTGAAGCTGTAAATCTCGTGTGAAGGGACAATCACCTGGTTGGGTCATCGGGGCACACCACAAGAACAGGACTGGAAAACCAAATCCGAAAGGCTTTGTTCGCAGGTACTCTGTTTCAATGCAGGGCTCTCTGGAATGGGCAAGATATCCCAAGATGGCTTCAATAGCACAATGGATGATAATATGCCCGAATTTGTCGCCGAAGGGCTCGGCGTCTTGCCCAGCATAAATTGTTACTTAACAACAAAGTTCTTCTCACGCCACGACACAATGACAACTCGATATTTTGGCATTTCTGGATGACTTGGAGCGTCTAGATATGGGAGGGCATTATGGCATCTCGTTTGCCAGCGTAAGAGTAGTGTTCTTCGTATGGTGGCATCGCTCTTCCGTGAAGAACACGACCTCTGACCTAGCCTTGGCTGTGGAAGACGCGGCTGAGGAGCAGTGGTATGCTGACAGAGGTAATAGCGAAATTCATCCCTCATCGGACCTTGTGGCAGACGATGTATCCGTGTTGCCTGCTTAGCAATGCATTACAGGCCCTCCAGTAACGTAGCTGGCGTTGCAGTGGTTTCAATGTTCGTGGTGGTTGGTGGTCGAAAGAGTTGAAGATATGAGGTGGATCCACTTGTTGGTTTGTTTGGAAGTAACGTGACTCACCACCCAACGAACTCATCCACCCAACGAACTCCAAAAAGCGCTCTATAGAGCCGTTAATTTTCAACTGTAGCACAACAATGCAAGAAGATATTAATATTATTTATTAAAGATTAAAACTATATGTAGAATACATCATATAAATATACATGATTAATTCAGAGAACGATTGCTTGGCCTAATATTCCGCCCGGAACGTTGAACTCGTGGTTTTGAAACGGTTGAATCGGATCGCGGCGTAGAAGGTTTCAGAGAAGGAATATCATTTGATTCCACTGGGGGGGCCTGCGTGCGGCACTTATTACCGCTTTTAGAAGGTTGTATAGAGCTTCTACGGTGTTTTGAGCCCACTGTTGATCTTCTTGTAGGCCTCTTTGAGGCCTCCGTGAGTGCCTTCTTTGCCAACTGTGCTTCATGATGTTTAGCAGCATGTTCTTCCTTCTCTTTTTGCAGTTGAAGCTTCTGTTCATCTCACCGTTGCTTCTCTATACAATGTTTAGCTGCAGCTGCAGCTTTGGCCTCCTCATGGTGTTGAGCAGCTTCTAAACATTCCTTCTCACGTTGTTCCTTCCGCTCCATGAGCTCTGCCTGCTTTTGCTCATGAAGAATCGCTCGTTGAAGCTTCATATCCTCCTTGCTTGCCTGATCATCGATTTTCGCAGTTTCATTAGCATCTGCTTGCTCCCTCGCGGCCTGCACCTTTGTGGGAGAAAAGAATCGAGCAAGTGAGGGATTTGATGGATTAAGCAACCCCATACGCTTACCCCGTTTGCGTCGCCTTCTCATTATTTAGAGCAGTCTGAAGATTCTTATTCTCTATTAAGAGAACCTCTCTGTCCAGAGCAATATTCTCCCCAGCACGGAGAATTTTTTTAATATCAACTGAAAGTCGGCGGTGACGTTGACTTGCCTGCTTTATCAGACCTCGCAAAGCTCATATAGATGTAGGTGTACGCTGCTTAAGCAGTTCCGGGGGTGTAAGTGGACGTGGTTGAATCTTTTTGAGAACGCGGGCAGGATCTATAGGATGTATGCCAGTGGCTATGAAGGCAGATTTGATATTTTCCGCAGTTGTAGAGATTTCCCATGCAGCATGAAATAATCGCCAAAAATCTCACTTTGTAGTCTGAATAAAGCCATAGCCAGAATGTGTATAGAAATCTAGTTGATCTGATTATGCCTTTGCAAGTGGGTCAAATATTCCAACATCTAGCGGCTGTAAACAGTGTGTAGAGTGGGGGGGAAGAATAGCAAGCAAAATTCGATTCTGATCCGCATAATCAATGAATGCCATATTTATATGAGATGAATGGCCATCTAATATAAGCAGGCGGTAATGATTTCTTGCTTTTTGCTTTGTATGAGGATCAAACACCTGTTTCAGCCAGGTTAACCCATATTCATCATTACTTCATCCATTTTCTGAAGCAGCGAAGTATGCCTGATCCTTTTTAGGATCAAAATCTTCAAGCCATGTATCTTGCATATCTCTTGATTCCCCGCGGTAAATGAGTGCAGGTGGAATTGTAGTTCCATCTGCACAAATACCGGCAAGTAGAGAAATGAATTCTCTACTGCCATTCTGCACTGCTTCAATTGTATGCTTCCATTTGAGAGCTTCTATAGAAACAATTCGCTTGAGGGTATGAAGGAGGCCAAGAAGAAAGCCTTTTTCATTGAAATTGTAGGTGTTCTGAGGTAGAATATTATACTGCTTGATCTTCTCCTGCAACTATTCAATAGAAGTCAGCAAAAAGCTCATGGAATTGCACACGAAAAGAAGCAAAAAAACTGCAATTACAAGAGTAAAGAAGTGTTCAAAATAGTAGCTATTATCTGCCTGCTTTCTCTTTTGATCCAGAGCACGAAGATAGATGCTCTTGATCTTTGCTTTATGCCGCTCACAAAAGCAAGACACTCAGTTGATTTCTACTTGCATTTTGGTGATCTCAAATACAAAATTGCGCAGTATTTGAGGTGTCACAGGGAAGCCGCGATCGGATAACTGATTAATATGAAATAGGAGGTGTTGTTCTTCAGTATTTGTGAGATTCTGACAGTAGACTGATGTTGCCTCTGTTCTGGAGACCTGTTGACCTTTGAACCGCCGCATCAAGGTAACGCGATTGATTCCGAATTCCTTTGCAACCTCAGCATATTTAGGAATCAATTGTCGATTCAATTGAGCGATCGTTTGCTCTATAATTGCTTCGTTGGGTGGCATGGTGGGTGGTTGAAGTTGAAGAGTTGCAGGGATTCATGGAAAAAATAGGAGTTCGTTGGGTGGATGAGTTCGTTGGGTGGTGAGTCACGTTAGATCGACAGGAGCTTAAACCACCAAAGGACACAGTGGCGGCTTGACAGCCTTCCAGAACCATCGCTTTTCCAACGCCGCAACCCCAAGGCCAATCGTTAATTTCTCACGACACCGCACGCAGGCTGCTTGAATGAGGGAGCAACCGAATACTCGTCGCTCGTGTCTTGGTCCATAACCATGGTGGACCTCAAAGCACTGAGCGCGATCTGCGGCCAATGCGTGGAGCTTGCCAGCAGGACTCCCCCCTCGCTGTGGATTATTTCCCTGCTATCTACATTTACAGGTTTCATTCTTTTTGTAGGTCTAATTCCAACTGACTTGTTTCCGCGTCGCTCAATTGACTAAGCCTCCTCCAGGGATATACTCTTCTCATCCTCGTAGCACCACGACCCCGCCCTCCGCTTCCCCCGGAGAAAAGATACAAAACTATTGCTCAAGATGGATCAATTACGGAGCCCCAATTGCTTCCTTGCTGGCAAGATAGCCTAGGAAACCCTACGACTGATAATACAAAAGAAATGGAGAAGGCGGAGCTGTTTATGTCCGTGGTGGTTCCCGCATTTAACGAAGAGGAGAGGTTGGGCGGGATGCTGGAAGAGGCTGTGAATTATCTTGAGAGGACGTATGGGAAACCTGCGGAATGTCAGCAAGATGGAACTTTGCTTAACGAGGTTACGAAATGCGAAAGGACTCGTCGTCGTAAACTCGATGGAGACGCAAATGGAACCGCAAATAGAAGCGCGGACATGCCAGTCAGGGGATGGGAAATACTCGTCGTGTCGGATGGTTCTACAGATGGGACCGTAGAAACCGCATTGGCCTTTGCCAAAGACCATCAGCTTTCACCACACCCCAAGAGCCATCCAGGACCATGGTCAACTGTCGTTGACGCGGAAGGCGTACATACCCCCCCGGGGACAATCCGGGTGATCACCCTAACGAAGAATAGAGGGAAAGGCGGGGCTGTCACGCATGGTATGAGGCATGTACGCGGCCAATATGTCATCTTCGCGGACGCGGATGGTGCCAGTCGGTTCGATGACCTAGGAAAACTAGTATCAGCTTGTCAACGGATTGAAGATGTTCAATCTCGAGGACTTGCCGTCGGATCCAGAGCACATCTCGTTGGTAGCGAAGCGGTAGTTAAGGTATAGCACCCACACGCCCAATACCAATGTCACTTCTCTTCTCCCCGTACTCTTCACCCACTAACAGATATACTCCCACCCAGCGCTCCAAACTCCGGAACTTCCTCATGCACTCTTTTCACCTAATCCTGCGCATACTCACCCCACCTGCCACAGCTTCGATAAAAGATACCCAATGTGGTTTCAAGCTCTTCTCTCGTGCCTCTCTACCATACATCATTCCTTACATGCACTCTGAAGGATGGATTTTTGACGTTGAAATGCTTATGCTTGCTGAATTTGCCGGTATTCCTGTGGCGGAGGTACCCGTTGGTTGGAGAGAGGTCAAAGGGAGCAAGTTGAATGTCGTCTGGGATAGTTTGGGGATGGCGTGGGGCTTGGCTATCTTGCGGATGGCTTGGGGGTTTGGCGTTTATAGACGGACTTGACCCATAGAAGTTTTGGATGTTATCAGTTCCCCTCACATTTCCTCTTTCTTGTATTTTGAATTGGTTGGCGTTTCTCACTGGGTTTGGTTCAAGTTTCCCTTTTGTTTTAGTTTCTCCCAGATGGACTACGAGACGGCTAAAGATGTATAAAAAGGATATAAATGATTTGGCTCCACGTTCGACGAACGTATGGATGGGTTGTAGATGTTATCCTCATAATGAAATATGTTTGTCACAGGTTCAAAATACGTGACCTCACTCAGGTCAAGCTTAGTTTGATTTTGTGACGAATGCCTTGAGTACCCTCGTGCAGCATTTCGATCCTTTATTGAATTTTTTTTTTTTTCTCTTCTCTCCTCGTTTCACCACAGTTTCCCTCCTGGGATAGCTCAACACGAGGGATTAACAAATGGAAGAAGTTTAATTCATAACCCGATTCCCACCAGAGGCAAATAGGAAATCCGTTGGCTGGATTCGGACTTCACGGGGAAATACTTGAAAGATTTAATAAAAAGAATGGTACCAGTATATCCTGTCAGTTGGTTTCGGCTGTATCCGGATTAATGGTATTCGTACGACATAGTAGGAAACTTGATTCCAAAAACAAGAAGTTAATAATATCAAAAAGATATTACAAGGGAGTGAGGTACGCCATTGCTCTTAGCTCGCCCAGGTTCGGTAGATGGGAGGGGAGTAAATCTTGGTATATTGATACAGGTGAACATATATCCTTTCTTCAGCCTATATAAATCAAAATCAATGTAGGAAATAGAGACAGTTTGATATCTTCATGCACTTAATCCGAAGCAGTGTGTTCTCTCAGATATTCTACGATTTGAGGGGGCGATTTGAACTAAATATATCAGTCAAGCGTCTAACCGGGCTAAGTAAATAGTCAAGGGCATGACGTCCCCTAATATAGTAACTACCCGCGCACATTAGCCCTAAAATAATCCCGGTATTCAAAGGTAAATTATCACCATCCCACCGTCGCTGCTCCTATGTTTTGCGATGCCATGCTGGACGATCCAGCGTGCCACTGATTTACCTCACTCGTATCGGAGGCAATACGACTCTAGCCTGCCACCTCATGGGCACATACCCTAGGCTACAACAATGTTGGCAAAACTGACTAAGTCGTATCGTTTTAACTCATCACAGATACTGAGTCATCTTTCCTGGTAAACATGGCCCAGATCCGTGCAATTCCACAACCTTCAGGTTGTGGCGAAAGGCTTGAATATACGCACAGGGACACCGAGGAGTCGTCTACGCTATCTCCAAGTCGCCGTCCAACTTCACCAACTTCCGATAACTCTCGTTTGAAGTGGCCAGATGGTGTGTCAAACACAGTGTCGACAGATTTTTTCGGCTTCGTCGAACAATCCCGACTAGCACTTCAATCGCTGCGGTTCAGCTTTGAGCGTGAACGAGCGGCGTTTACAGAAGAACGGAAGCTGTGGGAGAAGGAAAGGTCAATCATGATACACAGGATTACGGAATTGGAACAAGAACGAAAAAGAGGATCTTCTAGAATCGAGAAACCCCGGATGGCATCAAATCCCAGCGGAAAGGAGGGCCGTCAGACACAGGATGTCCATCATGTATGGGAAGGGTCAAGTCCGACTCTCAACCCAACCAGAGTATTCTGGCAGGGAGAAGAAGAGCAGAGCCCCCGAAGCTCGATACACTCTAAGAGCAACAACCATAGACCCGAATTACCCCCCTCGCTTGATGAAGCCCTGTCCCTTACGACCCGACCCGTCGATCGGTATGCTGCAGTTGGAGTTCCCATTGAATTAGTTGATAGCAGTTTGGATGGGATCACCCTTAAATCTACTGCCCTAAGCCCGGATATTCTTACAAGGACCACTTCAACCTCCCCCTCAGACGCCGTATCCCCATCTCGAAATCGAGCCCTAGACCCTAAATTGGTAGAAACCAGGAAACCCGCGCAACTCGCGCTATCGGAATTGGGGCCCTCCGAAGAAAACCTCGTGAGAGTCGCAGGACATACTCCAATGATAGCCATTAAGCCAGACGTAGAAACAAGCGGCGTATCTACTGAGGTTGGTACATTGACGACGGATTCACCCCTTGCACCTCAACAAACTCGCGAGTTGGGGGAGACCTACTTCTCCACAGTTGACGAAGACCCGGCCCTGCAAGGTCCTCTAGGCTTAAAACATGACAAGGAACAGGACATCGAGTTTCTTGAGGCCCTGGACCAGAAGCTATTAGAAGAAGCGAGAAAAATAGCTAAACCGGGGTCTCTCTCGGGTTCTTGTGAACTCGAAAGGAGTGTCTCTGGCGACGAAGAACCGCCCACGCAGCCCGAACCAGAACCCGACATCAAATTCAAACACAGCACAAATTTTGGTTCAGCTTTTGGGACTTTATAATTTATTTTTATTACCATTTAATCTGCATCCCTTTTTGCGCCCAAAGTGGGAAAGAAAACCTTTTGTTATATCTAGCACTATATCCACTCACGTACAGAAGTAGCCTCTGGAAAGCTTGTTTCCTTTTTGTTTTTTACTTTTACTTTTTCTCTTCTTCCACCGCATATTTGGAATACTATTTTGATAGATTGGATCATCTCAATAGCTAATTGTGATCAATCTCAGCTCCTTTCTTCTTTTTACAGCGCAGCCAGCTCTTAACTGTGACCTTTGTTTCGAACGGTCTCACCCGGATGAACTGTCCCTATATATTGCGCAAACACGTCTCTCCACAGGCTGACACAGGCTGATACAGCTACTAGTAACTGCGGTCTTCTCAATCTTACTATCTCTTCGTACCTTACTCTAGGTTCGGTGCGATACACTATCCTCCTGCTGTACTTAAAGCATATTTTCATCAGTGCTATTGCAGAAGTCGCGTGGAGCCTAATGGAGCCTATATGATCTACCTCTTTATCGCTGTCCCCTCTGTGGTATATACCAGAATATCAACGAGGGTAAAAGGAAAAGGGTGTACAAAAGTAATCGCAAAGGGTCGCGTGCCTACGTAGCTCTTCGGGTATATAGTTGAATACGGCCTCGACAAAGCGGGCATGACTTTATAATAACCCCTTGTTCGATTTCCGCTCAACCAAAGCGGAAACTCAATCAACCCTATACGCTCTCTATACAGTGGACAGGATTATCTACCACGTGTTAGTGTACTCTGTAGGGTTAAAAGAACAACATTGTTTCAATGGGTGTTACCCATCTTTTCCCAATTCGATACCTTGGATATAGTTTATCTATATGGTTTGAACCTCGTAGATATATTTGAATGAATGTGCGCAAAACTTCATTTGCATAAAAAATTAAAATCAGTGTATGAACGCTTTGTGGAGAGAGGGAGAGAGAGAGAGAGAACAAAAGAGAGAGATAGGAAAATATGGACCGGATGCCAAATATTTGTAAGATTCCGTTGTTTTCATGCAGGGAAAGGATTTGAGCCTAACTCCAATTTCCAAAATAAAAGTAAAGAAGGGGTCGTGTACATGCCGGATAGCATCATAATGAATCAGAAAGAAAAGAGAATGGACATTGGAGGTGAAGTATTCATAAATCAGAGAAAAAAGAACAAGGCAAATATCAAACTGAAGTCAAAAGAAGCGATTCCATTGGAAATCAATCCCAAAAGAGAAGAAACGGAAAGAAAAGTCGATTTAAGATACGCGAAGGAAGCGAAACAGAATTGGTTGTTCCTAGAGTGGACGAGTTCCTACGTTGCGAACAGAAACAGTCCATCGATCCATTCATCCATTAATCCCTCCGTCATATCATAACTATCAACAAATGAATTCCGAACACCGAAATGATCCGCTATATCTGCCACCTAAACGCCCATCGTAAAATCATGCTCAATGCCTGGGGTCACGCTCGCAATAAACTTCAAGAATACGACCAAATACTGATCCACCCGTATGGCCACACGCTGCTCGTCAGCCTCTTCACCACCCTCGTGCTGCAACACCTCCCACTCATCGCCAGCATTACCGCCTGAAGGCTGCAGTGGATGTTGCTGTTGCTGCAGTGGGGACTCAGGAGAAAGCGTCAGACGAGCCGTATCATCCACTAGACCCTCCAATCCACTCTCAACTTTCGAGGGCACAGTTCGGGTCGCGTCTTCCGGCGAGATAGCATTTTTCAATTTTTGGCGGCGGAGCTTTAGAGCCGCGTCTGCGCGATCGAGGAGGACTTTCATTACGCTTGCGTGGCGACATGGATGCACACTGGCCATTTTTACGCCGCCATCGAAGAAGGGGAAATCCTCTAGAGTGACGGTTTTGTCTTTGTAGTCGCCGACTATGTCTTCCATCATGAGGTGCGGGGCGAGGGGTTCAGATGGAGATATGTAGCCGGAGAGGTAGAGACGGGGGGTTCGGTAGTATGGGCTATAGGTTATGTAGAGGGTGTAGGTGCGGAGGGGCCTACAAGGCAAATGTTAATACACTGGGTATATCCCGATCAACCCACGGAGGAGAGGGGCAGCTGTGCTAGGATAAGGATTCATCCCAATAGAAAGACAGATGCTCACGATTCAGTCCCAGCCTTCCCCACCGGGTCCCTTATAATAGCCTCTTCATCATCGTCGTCATCTTCCATATCCGGAATCTCCTCATCTTCCTCCTCTCTCTCCCCAATATTCCCCGCTTCATCCACGGTCCGCACGTCCTTAATCCTTGCCTCATGACTATCTGACATTCCACCTCCGGCTCTCAACCACCC